TCTTCAGTACCCACAGAGACCAGAAGAGGGTATTGAATCCCCTGGAACTACAATTACAGTTATGAGCTGCCCTGTGGGTGATGTTAATGAAAATGTCCTCTGCAAAAGCAGCAGGAGCTCTTAACTGCTGAGCCATCTCTTCAGCCCTTTATTCCCATTTCTTAATACTGTTGCCTTAATGATTAGGCATTGACATCAATTTGGGGATACACAGTTGGACTGCTTTTGCTATCACACTGGGTACAAAGTCAGGACCCTGGCCTTACTTTAGGTCATCTGCTGGACAAAAATCAAGATGGAAGGGGATAGTCCCAGCCAGATGAGAATGGGATAGCCCCAGCCAGATGAGCAGATGAGCAGTGGGCAGGAGCATTTCTGTCCAGGCCCACCCCAGCACCCCGGTACTTGTTCACATTGTAGCTCACAGAGAGCACAGAAGTATGTTCAGGTGTCTGCGTCCTGAACAGATGTGGTGATACTCAAGTAGGTATCGGGCTTGGTCACCCACCCAGAACAGTCATAGTGCACTTGAGACACTCAAGTGCAGACTGTGCATTGTTTACTCTTACATACATGTTCCGTGAAAGAGATGGACTATTCAGTCAGAGACCCATGAAAGTGGGTCTGGGGGCTGGAGAGATGGCTCAGTGGTTAAGAACACTAGTTGTTCTTGCAGAAGACCCGGGTTCGAATCCCAGCACCTACATGGCAACTAACAACTGTCCATCACTCCAGTCCCAGGGGATCTGACAGCCTCTTCTGACCTCCGTGGGATGGCATGACATGGGTGCACTACATGCAGGCAATACATGCATACACATAAAAATAATAAAATTTTATAAAAAGAAAGTGGGTCTGACTCTGTGGCTCCCGAATCGTTGACTAGTCCCAGCTTCACCCCTCAGCCTCCTCCATCCAGGGCAGCCTAGCCTGGCAGGGTGCTGCCAGTGCTGAGCCATCTTCTTTCTTGTGCTGTGCTTAGCTCTCCTCCAGCTGCTCTCATCTCAGGCCTATGGCTCAGAGATAGAAGGGGCCTCTGAGGCCCTTCCTGCACAGGTGTCTGGGGCCCCCAGGAATATCGTTTGCATGGGAGTTGGTAAGCCTTCATCCAACTGTTGCTGTGGCAGGGAAGGGGGAAGGAGTATACTCTGCCTGCCAGAGCCATACTGAATCGAGGCATGGCCCAAACAGGGACTCACAGATAGCCGGGGGTGGGGTCCTCTGGCCTGGACCAGCATCTCAGGATCATATGGTGGCCTAACACTCTCTCCTGAAACCCAGAGCTGAGCACCTTAGCCCCTCAGCCAGCTCCTATTTATTTATTTATTTAATTTATTTATTTATTATTTTTTCAAATAAATTTATTGAGAATTTCATACATGCATATAAGGTGTTTTGATCAAACACCCTGTTCCCTCCCCTCCAACTCCTCCCATAGCTCCCCATCGCTTCTTTCTGACAACTTCATGTTCATTCGTTTGTTCCCTTTCTCTCTCTCTCTCTCTCTCTCTCTCTCTTTCTCTCTCTCTCTTTCTTTCTTTCTTCCTCTTTTTCTTTTTTTTTTTTTATGGGGCTTTTTGCTACTCTCACATTCCCCCCTCTGAAGAGGTAACTCTTAAAATCTTCTAGGGATTAGATAAGAGCTCCCAAATACTTTTGACATTTTTATTCTTTGGAACAGAGTATGTTGCTAAGTGGCCCAAGGACATTTTGACTTTTAGCCAAGAAACTGGCTACTTTTCTTTGGGGTCTTTTTACCCTAAATGCCTAGCTAATTCCTACCTCCTATTCTTATCACACCGTCCTCTGAAGGGGTTACCCAAATTGCTGATAGGGAATCAGGATGCAGACCACTCTGGCTTCTTCCGTGCAGAACAGGGACACAGGGTGAGGCAATTGGGGTACCCCTTCAGTGGGTCTATCTAAGACTCCTAAATTGCATAACTCTTATCTGTAGGGTGAAAAGAAAGTCCTTGACTGGTGAATAGGAGATGTGAAGGAGAAGTAAAGGCAAGAGTAGTTAGCATTACACGTTCTAGACAGGGAACCAGAAAAGTCAGAATAGGGCAATTTTCAAATGTTCATATCAGAGTCCACTTGAATTTCTTGACGAGAGCTTCGAAAATCATCCCTCTATTGGGTTCCTCCTCATTTTTCTTTTGTCTGCCAAATTGGGAAACTTGTGCCATGGAGTGCTTGTGGGGGCCACAGAACAGCCTTTGCGATTTGGTTCTCTTTCCACGATGCTGGTCCTAGAGATTGAACGCAGGCTGTCAGGGTGGGTGACAAGTACCTTCACCTGCTGATCCATCTTGCTGGCCTCTCCTTTCTCTTTTAATTAGAAGACTGCAAGAAAAGTAAACCCAACAGAAGGGTGTTCTTCATGGAGTGTCAGGAACGGTGTCTCTGTGTGTGTGTGTGTGTGTGTGTGTGGCAGGCACAGCTACCTTCCCCCAGAGAGAATGCCTTTCATCTTCTATCTATTGAGCCTGTTCTAACAGCCTGTTTGCTGTGTTGGCCGGTGGTCTTCTTTATTTCAAAGCGATACACAAACACATCAGTCTTTGAAAGGACAGGGCCCTTGGGACAGGTCTGTGCTCTTTCATCAGCAGGCGAGAGACAGTGGCTGTTCTACGTCCCTGTGTACTGGGAGGAGCCAAAGCCTGCTATTCTTACACATTGCTGCAGGTCCTTTGAGGGAGATCAGGCTGGGCCACCAGTGCCCCTCACTGCCACAACCCCTGTCAACCTGTTGCTGGACTGGGCAGTTGTCTGGATAGGAGGCCCATATCTGAACTGTGCCATGAAGTGCCTGCTGAGCTGTATCACTGTGCAGTGTCAGGCCTGAGTCTCTGGCCTCCATGCCATCTGGCGTCCCACCAGCAGGGGTGCTCTTGTGGAGCCCCACTCTCTCTCTGGTGCTATAAGGGGTCCCACAGTCCAGGTAGGGGCTATGACACACACATACCTCTTGCCAACTGGTAAGGCCAGAAGCAACCGAGAGCCTGGCCTTTCCTCTTTGCCTCCAGACGGGGGCCCAGAACTCACATAGCACCAGCTCCCTGGACAGTTCTGATATTCCTCAAGTCGAGATTTCAGCTCAAGCCCTTGTGGTCACTGCCTTGCCCTGCCTGGTCGTGAGAAGTGGGTGGGGTAGGCAGCAGCGCAGCCTGGCGATGTTTCTGTGGAACTGGCCCGGCCCCTTCTCCTGGGGAGCATTGTCCTGTGTCAGTGATTTCTGTGTCCCTGTCTGAAAGGACACATGGAGTCTGGGTTGCCTGTTGCTTTTTTCAATAGCATGATCACGAGTGTTCATATCAAGGCTGGAGATGTAACTTGGTGGCAGAGGACATTTTTAAGCATCTCAGGCCCCAGGTCCAGTCCCCCGCACTACTACTACCATGAAGAAAATTTCATGTTTCTACAGAGAAAGTGCACAGACTTCTGTCATTATTCTTTCTCAGTGAGTTAATGTTCAGGTGTTGATGGAGCATTTACATCATAGCAGGTATTTTAAGTAATCCGGAGGCGACTGCACAGGTGAGGTGGACTTGTACACTGAAGAAGGATGGGGTCCTAGAACTTGGGACACCTGGAGTGAAATGGCCTCAGCAAGGATCAGGCACTTGTTACAGGCATCTTCCCAAGAGGCTGAGGTCTGCCTGGCAAGCCATGAATGGCCCTGTTTCCCTGCAGCCCCCATGAGCAGGGAGGTGACTAGCTGAGTTCTGCATTTCTTTATGAGCTCAGTGTTCACTGACCAAAGGTACTTAATGAGTCAGTCTCACATATGCTGGTCTTGCCACAGCCTGTCAGATCAAGTACCAACTAGGCTTTGGCTGGATGTGTGGACCTAGGTTCCAGAAGGAGCCCAGCCCTCACTGACCTATGTGTCTGTTCCTCCGCAGAACTGTCAGACCTTCAGCAGCCTCAGCTGCCTGAGCACGGGGGTGGAGGACCAGAGCCCCCAGAGCCCCTTTGCCCTCGTCAGTGCCACCCGATCCTGGACCGCGTTGCTCTCAGCCTCAGCCTCCAGCCCAGGGGGCAGGACCCCTGCTGGGACCCCAGTTCCTGAGCCTCTTCCCCACTCCTTCGACGACCACTTCACCTGCCAGGAGGATCTGTCCTGTGAGGAGTCTGACAGCTGCACCCTGGATGAGGACTGCTGTAGGAAAGGGGAGCCGGCCACAGCCTGGCGGGACTGCGGGGCCTGCACGAACAGCCTCTGCTCTCTGGATGGCGAGCTGGACATTGAGCAGATAGAGAACAACTGAGGGGCCCTGCGCCCTGGCCCAGGGAGGGGGGCTTTGCAGTGGATGGGCCTCCCCCTGGAGCCTAGGTGGGCACTGTACAGGGGAGCCTGGCTCCTGGGTCTGGCAAAAGCTTCCAAGAAGGAGCCCACCCACCTCCCAGGGAGCAGTTGTCACCCTGCAGTACCCAGGCTCTGTGAAGGGGAACAACTGGCTTCCTGCCAGGTCCATGGAACTACTGTAGCCCAAGAGCAGCTTTTTGGTTTGGTCTCCTCTTTGTTCTTTGTGGAGTGTTGGTAGCTATTCCCCACTGAGGCTGGGCCATTCTGCATCCATCAAGTGGGATGCTAGAGGCCTGGGTCCTCCATGGCCTCGCTCAGGTTCATTCTGGGGAGTCGCCCCAAATTCCTTTCCCTTAGTTTACTCCGTGCCTTCTCTCCCAGGTCTCCCCGCCCCAGGCTTGGGAAGGTTCGGGAGACACCTCTTGCAGTGACACCAGACCGTGTGGCCTTAACTCACGTGGGGTACTGGCAGAGCTTCTAGGGTAAGCCGTGTCCCATTTCTCGGGGCCAGGGGATAGCTCAGGGCCGTCCAGAGGCCGTCCACACTGGGTAGAGATTTGGAGGTTGTATTGGCTGAAAGGCGAACCCATCAGTCTCTCTCATGGCCACCCACCTCTTGGCCAACCCAGGGCTGCCTTGGTAAGGTTGGCAATGGCAGCCCTCTTGCCCCCAGTCCCTGTGGGCTAAACTTGGTGGATTCAGCTGAGTGTAGAGATGTCAGCGACATCTTCTCAGTGTCCTCAGGAGCTACAAGCAGGTGCACGCATCTCGGCATTGGGGCAGAGGGCATCTGCAGCAGGCCACCCTGGCTTTATGGTGACCTAGGCTGGGGGCCTCCAAGTCTCAGCAGCACTTCCAGCACATTCTTGCTTGTTCACAGGCACTGCTGGCTCTAATGAGAGCACCACCATCCACTTCAGCGCTCCTCACCCCACTGTGTGCTGAGGGGAGGGCGGCCCCAGGGGCCTCTTCCCTCAGCAGGCCCAGCCACAGCACGGCTTACACTCACCCTCGCAGCTCCTGAGTCCCAGCACAGCCCTCAGAGGGCACCCATTCAGGCGGCTCCCCAAGCCCTTCCTGCAGACGTGCCACGGGACACTACTCTGGGAACCTGGCTTTTAGCAAACTTGGCGTCTTCCGCAGATGGTAGCAAGTGGGCTGGCCTACACGAGTGGCTTGTTTTCCCATAAGGTTAAAAAGAACTAGTGCATCCTCCTGAGTTCATGGACATGTGATCTTGGCACCTTTATAGGCACCTTGCTGTGCCCAGCCTCTGTGGTTTCACCTTCTGCTGGTTAAGCTCAAATGGTGGTTGTCCCTTTTGTCTAAAAACCTTGAGAAGCTTTTGTTTAAATGTGTTAAGGCACCAAAAAGGCCAAGGCTCAACTTCTGATGTATAGGTAGTGCTTCTTTAAATCAGCCCCAAAAGATGCAGGAAGCCCCACTCCTGTGGAACACAGAGATGTACGTAGCCCCGGGTTGGGCAGTATGCAGTATGGAGAATGTGCAGGAGGTTGGGGGACACACAGCTGGCCTCAGAGGTACTGGAAAGCCAAAGCAGAGAACTAGCGAAGGCACAGTGTGGGACAGTGGGCCATGAGGCCATGCCTTCAGACTCAGCAAACCTGGAGAGGGGTAATTGGGGGCATGGAGACCATCCAGTAGTGCCCTGTTCCCCAGAAAGCCCAGGAGGCCTCTCCTTAGGACCAGACAAGGGGCTTCTGGTAGTAGGTACAAAGTCAGGGCTGCTGTGTGGGTGACCTGCCCTCAGACCATGTCCCCTCAAGCCTGGTGGCAGGATGAACAGGAACTCGATGAGTCACAGCCTCATCTCTCCCTCTCTCTAGGGCACTATCCCCTTGACAGAAACGCTCCAAGTCTAGGCCAGGGGTTGGTTCTTTCCAGTTTCCTCAGGCCCCTCTGGACTGACCCTGTCCCACCAAAACCTCTAGGCCAAGCCTGCGGCAGCAGTTAGAAGAGATGGCGGTCGCTTTTCTGCCTAGAGAAAGAAATGATCTTCATTTGCCTTTTGGTGGACTTTTCAGTGGGCAGAGCAGGTCTCACCTAGAAGGTGCCTTCGCCATCTCTCAGCAGCCATGCCACACAGAGAGGCCCATTTCTCTGCTCTACTCACTGGCCCCAGGACCTTTGAACATGGAGAAGAGCTCACTCAGGAGGTTTCCTCTGGCCCCATGTACTTAGCATCATGACAACAGCAAGGTCCTTGCTTTTGCCAGCCTGTCTGTGAGTCCCATCCCTCACAGAAGCCTGTCTGTGGGTCCCATCCCTCACAGAAGCCTGGCCACCCACTTGTCCCAGGGGGCCTGAAGGTCTAGAGCAAGGTATGGCTCCATCAAAGCAGAGTGGGGAAGAGGGTCTCCTGTCACATGTCATCCCCGCTCATTCCAAAAGCCATTGAACTGGCAGGAGGGGTCTGGCCTGGGTTCCAGGCAGCAGCCTAGCCGTTTACATGAACGCCCACTCTTGCCTTACTCCTGGGCAGTGGAGGCAGAGCCTAGCTAGTGCCCGTTGGCTCCCTCACATGCGGCCCAAGGACCTTGTTCTGACGTACACGAAGATGTGCATTCTCAGAAAGCCTTACTTTCCAACAAAATTTTTGTAGCAAAAGTTTTGTGAATTTGTATGCTGAAAGAACAGCTAAATAAAGGAAAAGTCCACATTAAACAGGAAACAGCCCCCTCCAAATTACCAGATGGGTATGCTTTTCCACAGGCTCATGCTGGGCTTGCCTGTCTGAGCAAGGCTCATAGCAATTAAAACTTACCCCTGGATCCTGTACCCCATTTCCACCAAGGTGGTTAAAGTCATTTGAATGATAGCCACTTAAAATAAAGTCAGGCTCCAGGGCTCAGGGACCCCTGCCTGGGCACTCTGCCCGTGTAGGTCATAATGCTGCCCCCTCTCTGCCTCATCCGCACTGCTGGTCAGACTTCCCCTTGGCACTAGGTAGAGAAAACCAGGCCTCTTAAGGAGAGAAGAGAAAGAGGTTAAGATTACAGACCCAAGTGAAGCAGCTTTCATAGCCTAGGTAGGATAGTCTGACCCACTAGCAGAGTCTCATTGGCAAATGAATTGTGTTGTCAGTGTGTCAGGAGACTCCCAAGGCTTGGGGACAGATGGCCTTCAGGCTGGGCTAGGGCCATGTGTGATGAGCCAGGCCCCCAACCAGACAGTGGTCTCGGAGTAGATGGTGCAGGGTCTTTCCACTAGTGCTGCCCACCACAACCTATCCTCCCACGCAGGCCATGACTGTCTTGCACTAGAGCCGCTCTAGTCTCAGGAATTTGCTTGTTACCTTTACTGTGTAAATAAAGCTTCCTGGTTCAACACCTGGCTGCCTGGGCATGGCTGTGTGCTTTCTCTTGGACACAATGAACCAGCCCTCTCTGTTCCCTCTGCCCATGAGAACATTTGCTCTGGCCTGGGAGGACCACACCTCTGTACCCACATCTCAGAGTAAGGGTCTGTCTTGGAGGATGCAATGCAGAGCGGCTATGGGAACAACTGCCAGAGAGGGTGCCCACCACCACAGCCGCCGTCCACTGTTACATGGAGTCTCCAAGAGGAGCCAGGGACCTGCGCCAGCTAGGAGACCCCCTGCCCTGCCATTTCTGAGGAAGGGGCAGTGGAGGAAGCTGACGAGTGAACACATCAGCTTGGCCTCAGATCTGGCTGACAGGCAAGGTCACAGGGCAGCGTGCTTTAGGCCCCATCACTGAGAAGAGCCCCACAGGGCCCCAGAGTATCCTTTCCCAGGAGGCTGTACAGCTGCTGGGCTGCCGTTCGTTCAGGGCCTGTGCCCTGGTAGAGGGTAGCATGCCTCAAAACTTTCTCAGGCTGTGGAGGTACTAGAACATGCAGTTCGCCCCAGGGTGTGTACACGGTTCCCCACCCGACCTCCAGACTGGGGACCCTGGATGACTAAGCATAGGAGAGGCACTGTCAGCAGCCTATGAAGAGACATTTTCTTTCTGTCACCCAATGTTGGTCCCTGTTGTCCGGCCTTGGGCCCCATCGGGGCGTGAGGCCCAGAGGCGCGCTTCTGCTTTGCCCTCCTTTTTAGCAACAAATCCCTTGTCCATGTAATTTAAAAGAGGGGTCTGAATTAGTGGCACACACCTGTAATCCTGGCACTTGGAAGGCTGAAGCAGGAGGATTGTGTGTTCAAGGCTAGCCTGAGTTATATATCAAGATCCTGCCTAAAAAAACAGCAAACATAGCTGGAGATAGAACTTCATGCTAGAGCACTTGCCCAGCATGTACAGGGTGCTAAATTCAGTAGCCACAACTACCTCCCCCAAAAGAGGTGGCTCAGCAGGTGAAGAAAGGTGTTTTCTGTGCAGGCCTGTAACTTCCATTCAATCCCTGGAACCCATGGAAAGGTGGAAGGAGAGAACCAGCTCTACAGAGTTGTCCTTGGACCTCCATACTGTGGCACACAGGCACGTGCACACACACATCATACACATACATATCATACATACAAAAAAAAGAAAACAAAAATACCCAGCCAGCCAGCCAGCAGCGTTGTAACTGCCACGGCCCAGGGCTGATTCCATGCTGGGCATCATCTGGCCTTTCTAGGCCACTGCTCTCCTGCCTCTGCTATGTGGTATGTGACTGGCAGGCAGAGGGTAAGGAAGGCTTCTGCCAAGCAATGCTGCATCCAGCCAGGCTTGGACTTGTGGGCAACAGCCCCACTCTGCCCTATCATTGGCTTTCCTTCTTAGACCACCTGCTGGGAGCATGAGATGAGGGTCTTGGGCAGTGGGGCTCCTCACCACAGCCCTTCAGGTTGATGACTGGTGGGCAGCTAGAAGGACCAGAAGCGACAGGGCAAGGGGCCGTCAGCTCCTGAGGGGACAGGGCATCCAGTAGGGTTCAGTGTATGCCTGCTGAATGGATCCTCTTCATTTACAGATGAGGTAACTGAGGCTCAGGGGCTGCGTGACTCCCCAGAGGTGGAGCCAGACCCCAACCCCAAGAATGCTTCATCCAGAGAGAGAGGACGGTTGTGTACTAGATTACAGCCCTAGGTCTCCATAGGCCATCTCCACAGGATTTCAGGCAGGAATATGGGTTGCATCTTGGAAGATACTAGAAAGGGCATGGGAAGAGTCACTAGAAGACCCTGATGGAATCTCCACCCTGCCCCCTACTTCTGGCCTTCAGGTGAGATACTTTAAAGACTATTGAGCCCACTATAGCTCAGAGGACAGCGTGATCTCTGCCCAGACTATGCAGGGTTTTCAGTCCACTCCAAGGCAAGAAAGAGGAAGCTCAGTTTATCTGGACACAAGCCAAGGAGAGCAGCCACTAATCAAAGAAAAAAGAACCCCGAGCTCCCTGGGACACACAAGCACGGCCTGAAGCCCTGACCCCCACTGTCACATAGCCCCTGTTCTAAGGAGCTACTAAGCGGAATCCATTAGGAACAGGCCTTCTGCATAACCAAATAGGCCAATGGCTCTCCCTTGAAGGTCAGTGATGCTGGCCAGCCTGGTGGCCACTCATCTCGATGCAGACTCTCAGTCACTGTTTCCTCCTAATATGATAGAATGAGGTCAGTCTGCCCAGCAAGGCCCCGCTGGCTCATCCATTACCACTGTGTATCTCTGTTTAGTGGAAAGCCTCTCATAGAGGACGCCTGACTTGTGTATGTGTGCACACATTTGTGTATACGATTGTACCGATGTATGTAGGTGTATATGTGTGTGTATGCACGTACACATGTATGGAGGCCAGAGGTCGATGTTAGATACCTCCCTCAATTGTTCTCTACCTTATTTTTTTAATTTTTAAAACTGTGTGTGAGCACATGTGCCACAGTGCGGGTGTAGAGGTCAGAAAACAGCTTGCAGAAGTCTCTCCTTCCACCATGAGGAAGCTGTGATGGTGCCAAGTGCCCTGAGCCAGCTGGTCAGCCTGTCCACCTGATTTTTTGACAGTCTCTCACTGAACCTGAGCTTGCCAATTTGGGTAGGCTGGGATCTCTGCCTGTCTCCACCTCCCTGGTGCTGGGATTACAGGCACCCAGGGGGCGGGCACCCAGCTTTTTTATGTAGGTTCTAGGGGGGGGTGGAACTCAGCGCCCCCTGCTGGCATGGAAGCACTTTGCTGGCTGGGCCACCTCCCAGCTAACTACTTTACCCACTGACCTATCAACCAGTTGATTCTTTGCCACTGAGTCACCTCCCCTACTGACTTTTGAGAAGCTGGCTCCTGAGATTCATCAGCGCCTTCTAGATTGATTTGGGAACAAATAGCAATATCAAGTTATCCCTTCAGCTGATTGATTTTGAAATCTGAAGCGTGGAGTAGGAGGGAATGTCCCAGAGGCCCAGCAGGGAAGGCTGCTGCCCAGTGTCCCACTGTGAGCTGCACGGCTCACCACTGCCAGGCCTAGTGAGGCGCTAGCGTTGGAGACGGCTCGGCTGTCCTCTGAGAAGTTGGAAGGCTTCATCCCTCCAAAGGCTGTAGTGTCAGGAGCTGCTGGGATCTTGAAAGTGGGGGGAGGAGGTAGTGAGAGGTCCTTGGGCCATTTTGATGGCTTGTCCTCAAAGGAATTTGCCCTCACTCTGCCTTCCTGACTCACCATGACCTCTTGTTCATTGTTCTTGTATATGTTCCTGCCAGGGTGCCACGAGGCCTCGCCAGACCTCAGCTGGGGCTGCACTACAACCTGACCTCTAGCCTCCAACCCTGACCTATACAGAAAACCCTCTTCCTCTTCTCCCTCCCCTACCTCCCCTGCCCCCTCCCTCAGGGTCTTGCTATGTCCCAGACTCAGTGGTCTATATAAAACCTTCTCTCCCCCCTCCCTCTTTCTGTTGTTTTGTGACAGGGTCTTTGTAGCCCAGGCTGGCCTGGGACATGTGAGGCTGGCCTAGAACTTTTTTTGTTTTTGTTTTTTTGAGACAGGGTCTCCCTGTGGCCCCAGCTGGCCTGGACCTCACAACTAGATCTCACAGAGATCCACTTGCCTCTGCCTCCTGAGTGCTGGGATTAAAGTGTGTCCCACCAGGGCCTGGAACTTTTAACCACCCTCCTGCTTCTACCTCCCAAGTGCTACAGTTACAAGCATGCACCATCACACCTAGCCAACCCCACCTGCTTAGCCTGCCTCAGGTATTTTGTTATAGTAACGAAAAATTAGGGCTGGCAAAATCACTCACTGGATAAAGGCTGATGACCTGAGTCTGATCCCTTGAACCCATGTGAAAGTAGACAAGAACCAGCTCCACAAAGTTGTCCTCTGACCTCCACATGTGCACCATGGCACACTTGTCCAGACATATACCCTACCCCCACATGCACACACATGTAATAAATAAAATTTAAAGTAAAACCTTCTAAAAGACAAACTAAAACAGGAGTCAGTGCCATGTTTGTCCTGGACTGTCTCCTCTCACAGGAGACCAAGAGACTCTTGAGGCCTTCACCCACCCCACCCCACCCCACCCCATGGACTCTTCCCAACAAAGGTCAGTCAAAGGCAGCAGTCAAGGCCCAGTTTATGAAGCCATTGGTTCTTCTGGTGAAAGAGGCATGACACATCCAAGTCTGTCCATACTGATCCACTGTGCTGTCTGAGCTGCAGGGTGGTGCGGCAGCTGACATTCCCGCTCTGCAGGACAGCAGTCCTCGGCCCACGTCTAGGTGATTTGTGGGGACGGGAAGAGCATGGGCTGACACTGTTTTCAGAGGCAGGGATGGGGGGCAGAGCACCGATCAGTCACATTGACATGGGGCCGGGAGGGGCCGTGGGTGGTGGGCAGGGGTCACTGGCCAGTCCCAGGGAGGCTGGCATGGCAGGCCCTGGGCTTTCTGCAGGCTCCACACTCACATGCAAAGTTTGCTGAGGGAGGCACCACACCCTCATCCAATTGGACAGACTGAATGATGACTGAAGGAATTTGGAGACTCAGACATTGCTGGAGGACCTTCCAGCCTGTGCCTAGGGTTCATTCTCTGGGCGCCTGACAGGTCCGTTCCACCCTCTTGGATGGATGGCACTATGGGCCTGGGCAGGGGTTCAGGCCACAGAGGCAGGGAACAAACCTCTACCCAAAGGCTGGGGAGGAAGGAAGGTTGATGGGGTCAGCAGAGGGAGGATAGGAAGGGGCTGGTTGGCTCTGGTCACTACCCTCATCAGCCTATGCCAGAGAGGGCTGGGCTAGCCTTGGGTGGTTATGGGCCTGGAGACAGGAGGGAGGGGCAGTGGGGGGAAGGAGGCTGGGGCCCTCCCTGAAGGTCTATCACTTGTCCGTATGCTGTAGTAGCAGGTCCACAGCCTCTGCAAGGTTGTCCACGTACCCATCAGCCTTCACTTCTGGATGGTGCTCATCACTGGGCCTGGAGGACAAGGCCATAGGTTAGTCTAGTAGGATACTAGTTTATTTTTGTTGTTACTATATCAAAATACTAGAGTCTGGGACACTTTATAAACAAAAGTCCTGGTCAGATCACTGTTTAGGCCTGGAGGAAGACCTAAGGACACTGCCATGGCAGGAATGTAGAGCAAGAGGATGATTCAGGCTTTAAGAGGCTTTAGAAACAACTCACTCCTGAGCAGGCTCTTTCTTTCTGGGTCCTGAAAGAACTACCTCCAACCCTCCTTAAAGTAGTAACCCAGTGGTCTTTCATGAGGCCCCTTCAAGGTCCCACTGCCTTCCACATGACCACACTGAGGACCAACCCTCCAGCACATGGGCCCTTGGGGGATGCACCCAAATATCAGTAGCCAGTGACCCCACAATGACCTCCAGAAGCCACTCCTGGGGCGCCATAGTGAAGTGCCTTCCGGCATGCAGCCTGGGACTGGCCTCACCCTGAGGAAAACCCCACGTCCTCCATCTGGCCTGATCTGTGGCCCACTGTCCCCTCCTCTGCAGCCTCCTGGGGCACACATACCACCCTCCCGAACTTCCTCCTCAAACCAGTCTCCCACTGGGAGCCTCTGTAGCCCTATATTGGAATAATGTACGCCTTGACTCCATCTGCCTCTAACAGAAGCATCTGCCGGGGAGAGCACCCTGACTGGCTCTCAGGGGGCCTGCTTACACCCCAACCTGGCCTAGTGCCAGTGTGTGTGGGGTCTAGTGTAGGAGCTGTGTGGGAACAGCTGGGGCTTCGACACTCAGAGCTCCTGCCTGCCCGGATGGTCCAGGGGTGCTCACTGTTACCCAGTCCTTGGAGGCCACTGCTGCCTTATAGAGGCAGCACCCAGGGGCTCCTGGCAAGGCTGCTATCTGGCAGGGATGCTGGAGATGGGGACTCCCCCTCCATGCCTTCCCGTGTTCTCTGATCACGCCTGTAGCCTGGCAGGGTGCTGGGCTGACTTAGAAGCTGCAGAGCCAGGCTTCCTGGAGGAGGCGCTGCAGGTTAACGCTTGAATGTTAAGGGCTCCCTGCAGACAGGATTGTAGAGGGGACCTCCACCACAAGAGAAGCCAGGGTGGGCTCACCATGACAGTCGTTTGAGGAAGTGGGGCCTTATCCCAAGGGCAGTTCTGGCAGGGGTGTCAGGTAGCTTTGAATGCTAGTCACTGGAAGGCCCCTTCAGCCTGCTTCCAGGCTGCAGTGGTCAGATGGGGCATGGCAGGGCAGCCAGTCTCTCTCTGGAAACCCCACTGCTGAGGAGCAGGCTGCTGGTCTGGTGCAAGCTTCCTGGGAAAGCCTGAGGGCTTCACCTTCCCACAGAGGCACTGCTCCCTGCAAGCCTCCGCCCAGCCAGAAAGAAGCGGTTCAGTTGGTCTGAAGACAGCTAAAAGCCATGTTGTCCCTCAGGGGCTGGATTCTGTAGCCTAGAGTGACTGGCCTGGAGGTCACTTCCAGAAGGGGGACAGTCCCTCTGCAGCTGCTAAGGTCCTGCTCTAGGCGGGACCAGGAGGCAGTCCTGAGGAGAGCGGTGATGACAGGACTACCCTGGGACTGTGGGTATTTACCCAGGGCCTAAATACGGCTCTGCCTGGGTTCCCCAGGCCTCAGTAGGCTGAGCCCGTCTCTGATGACTGCAGCCACGTCCCTCCTGTGGTCTGAAACCCCAGCATTCGTATCAGGGGCCCTTTCCTCATACGTCCTTCAGGCAGGTGGGCTTTTCCTTCTGGGGTGGGCTCTTCCCAGAGGAGGGGGTCTTCTTCCTGTGAGTGAGTTCCTCCCACTGGCAATGGGCTCCTCCTCCTCTTAGGGGCAGACTGAGGAGACGGGGATGTGTTGGCTTCCACTGAGTGGGCTCCTCCTCCTGGGGGCAGACTCCTCCTTCCGTGGGTGGGCTTTTCTTCCTAGGAACAGGCTCGTTCTGAGCTGCACTCTGCTCATGGCAGTAGGCGTCTTCTGGGGACAGACTCTCCTGGGAACCAGCTCTTCCTCTTAGAGTGGGCTTTTCCTCTGCATTCCAGGCACAGCTTTTCCCTGCCTGACACCTCCCCCCCACTCCTCCCTTCTCCACCGGTGCTGGGTGTCTGAGGCTACCTCCTGCAAGGTCTTACACATCCCTGTCTTGATTCCCTCCACTGTCCTGGGAGCCTGAGGAGAGCTCCAATGCTCTTCCCACTGCTGTGTGTTGGTGGGGAAGGCCTGGCTCTCTACTTATGAAGGAGCTGTTGGGGGTAGTGGAGCACCTAGGCAGGATGAGGGCCCCGGGGCGGGTGCCCACCCTGGTCCGAGGCCCCTGTTCCCCTGCTAGTCTATTTCTCAACATCACAGTGAGGCCAGTGCAGCTGCTCAAAGCAGAGTTAAAAATTCTCCCAGCAAACGCTCATTTACCATCCAAGTCCACCAGGGCTCTTTGCCCCGGCTCCTTCACTGGGTGTCTTCAAGACAGGCTTTCTGTCCAGTTCAATGTAGTCCATTGGAAAGGGAAACAGAATCCCCCATAAGATGCTGTAAGGAGTCAGGTGTGACATACACCTTTAATTCCAGCACTCAGGAGGCAGAGGAAAGGTGGATCTTTGAATTCAAGGCCAGCCTGATCTACATGGTGAGTTGCAGGCTAGTCAGGACTATTAGTGAGATCCTATCTCAAAACAACAATAACAACAAATAAACAAAAAATACCAAAAAGTGAAACAAAAACCAAAACTATAAAAGTAAGGAACTCCCATCAACCCTGTCTGTACTGCACTGAGTCAAATAGTATATGTGATTCATTGTGTCTAAGCAAATATCGTACGTGGTTCACTGTGTCTAAGCACAGAACTGCAAGAATCCACTAAATGAAATCACTGTGCCAGCAGCTGACTGGTGCTTGCCCACAGCAGCAGAAACTGGACTCTCATGTCCTATTCCACATTGCTGCCAACACAACGGCTTTCAGGAAGGCTAGTTAGGAGGGGACTCACTTCAGGCTGCCTGCCTGGATGCCTCCAAATCACCTCTGCTCTGTCCAATGATGGGGCAAGAGAGGACCCTGTCCATGGCAGGTCAGTGTCCTGTGAGCCTCACAGATGACAATTACAGAAGCGAAACAAAAGCCCAGCAAACATGTACTCTGTGGTGGCCGGACCAGCAGAGGGGAGACGCAGGAAGGGCTGGGCCCAGCCTGCCTTGGGTAGGCCCTTGTCAGTAGGGTGGGGCAGAGGGACAGGATGACACACACGGTCCAAGCCTAAGAGAAAGGGGTCAATGGAAGAGACAACACTTGCAGGAAGAGGGAAAGCTGGACAGCAGAGACCTTGGGGTCCCAGTCAGCCTCGGGCAGGCCCAGGCCAGGGGGCCCTGTGGACCCATTGAGGTTGGACTGTGAGCTCTTCTTGGGGTCCCCACACTGTCCTTTCCTCTGCCCAGTCCACATAGCTGGGCTCCCTGCCTTGTCCCTATGTGTTATGTGGTCTGAGAGGTCTCTCCACCTGCCTGGGCCTGTTTCCTCCTCTGTGAGGCAGGTATGTGACCTGGCTCTCAGCCTCTCTGAGGAGAACCAGGAACATATCTGGCATTTGGCTTGTGCCTGACAGGCCTTTGGCCATTCTGCCCTGTGCCCTTACAGTGCTAACAGCCTAGCTTCACATTCACTGATGGGGCCCACGAAGGGAAGGGAAGACAAGGGCCAGAGGGCAGATGGGTGGTCAGGGAGCTTGCAGAAAGGTCCAGACCCAGAGCCTAGCTCCCATCCGTCCTTCTGGGATGACGCAGGATGCCTGCTCATAGTCGGCAGCTCTAACCCTGGATGGAAGCAGGGCAGGGGCAGCCTTGCCAGGCATCCTGCTGCTCACCGAGGTAGAGTTTGGGTTTCTCTTGCTGAGCCTAGGGCCTAAGGGCCTACTTGGGTAAGGCAGCGCTCCCAAACACCTCCTCCTTCTCCTCACAGTGGATCCAGTGAAGGATGCAAGATCCGGTTTGGCCCTCACCAGGATGGCTGCCATCCTGTTCTGTTGGTGGGACCCTCACAGGACATGGAGGGTTTTCTGCCCAGGTGAGCCCTGTCCCCTCCAGTCTGCCCCGGTCCTCCCACTGGCTCCCCACTCAAGTCCAGTCCTCTTCCTTCTCTTCTCTAGTCACAGATGCTTCTCCAAATGCTCACTTGCTCCGGCCTCTCCTGTGTAAAGTGCTGTGGCTCCCAACTGTCCACATTATAGCTCAGATCCTCAGTGGAGTGGCAGAGGTCCACCATGCTTAGGTCATTCCATAAGACAGCAAGCAGATCCTGTGCTCAGAGGCTTGTCTGTGCTGAGCCTCAGGATGCTCACTTTATCTATTCACTCGCTCACTCAATCACTTACTGAGACAGTCTCACTTTGTAGTCCAGGCTGCCCTCAAACTCACAGCAATCCTCCTGCCTCAGCTTTCTGAGTTCTGAGACTACAGCAGTTAGCCGCCATGCCTGACTTTGGGTTTTTTTTGTTTGTTTTTAAAATATTTTATTATTTTATGTGTATGAGTGTATTGCCTGCATGTATGTAAGTGCACCAGTATCGTGCAATGCCCATGGAGGTCAGAAGAATCCCCTGGAGTTGGAATTACAGATGGTTGTTAACCACCATGTCGGTGCTGGGAATTGAACCTGGGTCCTCTGCAAAAGTAGTCAGTACTCTTAAGCGCTGAACCATCTCTCCAGCCCCTTGGGTTCTGTTTTTTAAGACAGGGTCTCCTGTACCCCTCCATTTGGCCTGGAACTTGCTATGTAGACTAGACTGGCCTCACAAAGATCTGCTTGCCTCTGCCTCCTGAGTGGAAATTAAAGGTGTGTACCATCACGCCCAGCTCATGCCTGACTTTGGAATGCTCCTGAAATCTGCTCCTGGCCAACTCTTAAAGGGTTGTCTGTATATTCCCTGAGTCTGGACTATCCAGAGTTAGCTTCGCTTGCCTGTGACAGTGCTGGCTTGCTTCCTAGAGGGTGGGACCTAGTTTCTTATC